AAAATGGTATTTTCCAAGATGTTATTAAATTATCTTCGCATTAATAAACTTAAGTAGTACTTAAACATTTTAAGCTAAGACACATTCGGATCAGGAAGAGCAATCAAATTATTTTTAAATGTAATGCATATCCATGGAAAATATTACATGAATATGTTTAATATACATTATAGCCAGAAGACTTCATCCAAAGTCAGAAAAGTAATCCAAGTAATGATAAACCTGTTCTGAGGACTACTTTACTTGTAGAGGAAAGAATCTGTCTCCTGAGAGGTATTAATGTATTAAAAAAAGAATCTCAACTGGGAAATTCGACCATGATATTTGTTGAGGTTATAAATTGATTATTGGGGAAGGTGAATAGACTTATCTATTCTAGTCATTTAATTTTTTCTGCCTTTCAAGTAAACAATTGACATATTCCTTATCAGCCATGATTCATTAATTTATAGAATTATCTTATTTGAAGCATGAATCTATAGAGGAGTCCAATGCATATTCAAAAGTAAAATTTTATTAAATATTATTTTAAATGTAAATAAAAATCTGAGGCCTAGTCACTGATTGCCTTGAGAAAAGATAAGACTTTAGAGTACAAATAAATGAACCATTTAAATGAATAAATGGCTAGCTACTCTCTTATACCTTATAATGAAAAGTACCAATATCTTCATGTTCTATATTCCTGTTTCAACCTGGGGAATCTTGTATTACAAGGTCTGTATTGTGGACAAAATATCCTAAATATTTCATGAAAGAGATTGTTCTTCCTGAATGAATGCAACTTTAGCCTTAAAAAGTAATAGTTTAATCAGTTAAAATATGTCCAATCTTCTAGTATAGTAAGTGAAGGGCAGTATTTGATATAGTTTTTCTTCATATTTTCTTTGGGAGGCAAAACTAATTAACATGACAGAATAAAGAATATTTAAGTGCTAAATTAAACAGCATGGAATTAATTACAGTGCATTGGAACTCTCGTATATTTAGTAAAGGGGTACTCCCTTGGAGATTGGGGACTGTGTAAGAGGCATATCATCTATTTGATAACCATGTCAGAAAGTCCCTTTTCCTAGACTTTTGAAGGAAGGAAGGAATTATAAGAAACAATATAAGTAAACATTTTCATTCAACTTTGAAACAGAAGGATATTAAAAACTAAAAAAATTCTGTATTGTTTCAAACCATTTTTAAGTCATGTTCTCAGATGAATTTCCTATGAAAAGGCTTTGGAAGCCTAATGTGCCCAGTAAAGAGAAAGAAGGTGGAAGAAGCACTGTTTGTGTCAAGGATGCTGCCTGAGAGTACTGCCATCCTTCAACATGGTTTTATTTAGTTATTACAACTCTCTCTGTGTAAATGACATTTAGGATTATTTAAGATTATGTTGTAATCCTTTTAATCCTTAGTGCTTTAAATTTCAGGCTAAACACCAAAGAGCAAACTAGCACTTAGGAAGAATGTTTAAAGCATGTGATTTGAACATAAATCTTTTTATTCACTTCTTCCCTGATGAAGACCTAGTGTTGCTCTTAAGTTCACTGAGAAAACTTGTACCACAATTCATTACAAATCACTTGGTTGCTAAATGTTTTATCAAGCAACATCAAATTTGTGATGGTCCTTGACAGTTATGCTTTCTGCAGAATTAAGCAAAAGTTAGCAATGAACATTTACTAATTCGACTTAGAATTTGTGTGGAATTTATAACACAAAGTATCTTTCTGTGTTTGTGCATGTGTATGTGTGTATGTGTGTGTGTGTGTATACATAAATGCTCACTTTACTAAACTCAAGTATTAGATGCGTGTATACACATACACACATACTTTATACACACAATATATATATTTATATATATATACACATACTTATTTTAACATGTTATAACATTACTATATATTCCTTTGTACAGAAGTTAACAGTAATTTTAAAAATATATCACTTTTTATTAAGTATTATCAATTGGATCAAAGATGGTTCTGTTACAAAGTAGGTAGGTGTTCTTGAATTCAGCAAAAGAGCAACATTTTGATTTGATTGACCAAAAGTTCTTAAATACTAAAACCTAGTCATTAATGTTGTCACTGTAATGTCAACATGTGCCAATCAAATAAGGCTGAATTCACACAATGAGTTTGATAGGACTTTGACTATGAAGGAAATATAGCCTTTAATACAAAGAAAAAATGAACAAATATCCAAGCAGGACATAGAAAAAAAATGAAGCTAGTTAAATCTTCCAACATGTGTGTATGTGTGTGTGTGTGTGTGTGTGTGTGTGTTTATGTGTGTGTATGTGTATTTGAGACAAATGTGTGCCTATGTGGCTTTCATTTATCTCAGGCACTCGCAATTTTTTGTTTGTTTTTGTATTCATTTTAAGTTGGACTTCTCTGCAGACACTGTAATTATGTGGCATATAATTGCTAATCCATCACCTTTTTAAAGACAGATTTCAAATTTTAAATTATTTCTAATTTTGCACTTCTTTGATTTTTCTTGAACCAAAAATCTCAATAGTCATTTGCTATCTGTAATCTATAATTCATAGACTGAGATTGAACACCAAGCCTAATTCAAACTTGGAATTTTAAAGCTATTTCTGATGTAGCGCATCAGCTGAAGCTCTGATGGTCTTTTTGTCAGGAAGAAACACTTCATTATTCTTAAGGTAATGAAACCCCTGCACACACACATACTCCAACATCCAACAATGCCTTAATACCATGTTTTTGAGATATAATCGTGTTTATTCTGATCATTTGAGAGTTTGACCAGCTAATGTATCTAATCAAATATTGATGTAAGTCATCTAGATTTAGCTCCCTGGCAAATTCTTCCCGATGCTTTTTTGTTAACAGAACTACAAAAGCTGTTTATATTGTTCCTCTCAAAGGCTTACTCTCATAGCTTGTATCTATAGATACATACTAGTAAATTTTACCTAAGTTCGTACATTTTGGTGGTGAAAGATTTCAGCATTACCAGAAACCTAATGATTCATTCATAAAGAATAAAGCAGTAAACAAAACTTGAATCATTTTTAAGCTTTGCTAATTCTCTTGTTTCTCCAAAGGATCTAAGACCATATGCATATAATCACCGAGGTCCCATGAATTGTTCAATTACACTACAAACAATGCTAGCTACTGAGATTTTCATTCCCCAAAAGTTACAAAAAATGAGAATAATTTAAATTTTTTGGAAGTATCTATATTTAGAAATGAGGAAAATTACAAAAGGAGATATTTAGTGATATTCATAAAATCTTATGATTTTATATTCCACTAGTATAAGCAATTTTATTGTATAACTATGCTTACTATACCCATAAATATTTTTCTTCTTGTAGCCCTGTATACATGATATATAGATGACTATCAACATCAATTGTGACCCTTCACAAGGTCAACAGGATAGTTTAGCCCATTTTCAAAAGTTTCTATCATTCAAGATTTATGTCCATAAATTTGAATTTAATGTATTTCTTTTACAACTGTGGTGATGAGGATGCTAAAATCACAATACTTATGAAGACTACAACACTTAGCATACCTGATCCTCTAGGTTGTTATACAGATTATGATTATAATCTTCAAAATTATTATTTATAGCAGATTAACAAAAAGAGCAAGAATGGAGAAAGAATATATCACCTATATATCATTGCTCACTTTAAAACAAATTTATTTCTCCTATTTTAATCTCAAAAACCACTTTTTCATCACTCTTGGGATTAGACCATTGATTTCTGGGTGTGTTGGGCTGTCCAGATAGTTTGCCTGCCTTCCTACCTTTCCCCTTTCCTCCTGTGTTTAAAATTTTATTTTTATTAAGAAATAATAATTGTTTATATTCTCTTCATTTCATTTCTTTTTGGTAATAATAATATCTCTTCATCTAAGTAGAATAAAACTAGAACCAGAAAAAAAATTATTCCAGAATATGACAAAAATTGTTGGTTTCTTTTAAAAATCTAAATGGTCCCAAATTAGTCGACCATACCTGAATTACTATTTTGAAAAAGCAGCCTATACTGGAAAAGAGCATTTTTCCCCTCTAGTAAGAATGTAGATATCAAATTTCACCTATCTATAAGATACAAATATAAGACTCCATATATTCATCTCACCACAAAATTTAAGAACAGAAGAATTTACTTTTCTTCAAGAACCTAATTGTTGTTAAAAGATACTTTATGAAAAAGTTCAATAATCTGGCTCCATTGGCTGCTAAATGATATAAAATGTGAAATATGCTTATAAAGTTATGAGTTATTTTAGAAATATAAAAGTTAAATTTCATTTAAAAGTGTAAAAAATATCAACCTCTACAATCTAAAATTATTAATTGCCAAAGAAAACCATGCCATATGATGTAGTTTGGTAACATATATGAAAAAAATTACCAATTTCTTCTCTTTCAAGGATTTCATCTGGTTCTTTCCATTCAATGGAATATAATTATAATTATTAACCACAGTGTTTTTTTTTTCCAAAAACTTTATGCGATGTAAAATGATATAATTTTCATAGCTGTTCAGCTCTCTTCATCCTCACTACTTACACTAGTGAATGTAATTAATGACCAGAAGACAGTTGTGACAATGAATCAAAATAGTTTGTAATTGGTGAATCTTCACTTATGTACATTTGAAAATTCGACAATATATCTAATTTAAGTAAAGCATTCTAGGTTGGAACTCCAAACAGCTATCAAATTCATTTCAAAATTCAAAGACCTATGTGTAAAGCTAATCAAAATCAACATGCAACATGTATTTTATGTTTAGATAGCAACCAGCCACCAGGGAAAACAAAAAAAAAAAAACAAACCAAAGATTCAACAAGGAAGAGAAGTCAGTCTTTCATAATGACCTTCAGACAACTAGTTCATGCACATGAAAACATCACAAGAAGGTAGTCTGATTTTGATTACCCAAGAGACATCAGATTTAGAAGGAATAGGAATAAATTGAATATATGTAACATTCTTACCTGAAAGACATTCTTTCTGCTTGATTTTTCTTTGGCCCATTCAATATGTGCTCCACACAAATCCACACTTTCTGGTTTGTGCCCACTTTTCTGTAAATAAAAATGAAATAAGAATAAAAAGCACACATCATTGGAGATGCATGTCAGAGAAAATAAGAGTTTATTGAGTTAGAAGCTATACATATTTATGATAAAAAGCCTATCTATTTTTTCTTCTAGGAGAAACCCAATTTATAAGATTTGGGATGGAGAGAGACTTCATAATTTTAACTCTCTAAACTTCAAAGTCCATTTTAAAATTTCATTAATTGTAGATAATGACAAAAACAAATACATAAAATGTTGTTTTGTGATGTTATTTAGTAATCCTAAAGAAATGCAAGCTTTAAAATGTTTCCTTAAGAATGAATGTTGCTATTCAATGGCTAATGTAATGTAAAAGCATTTAAAGTCATATACTTAGACCTAAGAGGAAACATAAAGTTAGTAAATCATAATGTAATGGAAACCCCATACAGAGATTTAGCTTTGTGACTTTAACAAAGTTACTTGGGATTTGGCTACATCATCTAGAAAACGGAGCAGGTGCATTAATAAATCTCAAAATCCTTTTGTAGGTTTGTGTTTCATATGCTAACAAATCCAACAAGTATTTATTAAGTGTCAACTATGTGCCTTTTATGAGTTCACTTTTTAGACTTGGAAGACTATGCACATGACTATATGTATACTTTTATCTAATAAATTTACTTTAGACCAAATAGATTATAATGTGTGTGCTTCTAGTTACATGGTGACAATGTGGATACTACTTAAAAGTTGTTTTATTTCAATAATTCTTAATAGTCCATTAATAGACATATTAATTCTGGTTGCCAAAATATTTTCATTTTCATCTGATTCAAGTGGATAACAATTAGAAAACATTAAATTCATACAGCATAGCAAGTTTCTTCATTATTTTTCAAAGACATGTCACATTTGAAAGATTTTTCAACTATTTTCATAGTTTCACTCTCGGTTTCTCTATAGGTGAGTTCAGTAACTTTCCTCAAGTATTTTTCCATAGACTATATTAAAATCTTAGCATACAAAGCTTATAATACTTTAGGCAGTATTTTCAATGGCAGGAACTTCAGGTTAAAACATGAAATTATGAATAAAATTATAAAATATTAAAAGAAATTATCTATCCATAATTGTTTCCTTATAGTTACTGTGTCCAATTTTATCAGTTTAAAGAAACAGTTTTTTTTTTTTTTTTTTTTTCAGAAAAAGCTGAAAAATCCATTTTTATTGTAAATTGTGAGATTTTAGTTTTGGGCAACTCAAATCAGTTTTTGAAGAAATATCATAAATCCCAGTGTATCATTCCTTCAGAATAAATTCAGCTGGCAAGACAGAGTTGATAGCATATTATTTCCATGTTATTTAATAGGAACCTCATGAAAAACCCAACAAAATAAGACATATCCCTTAAAGATATTTCAAATTGTGACAGATTTTTATTGGTTCACTCATCTTCTGCCACCAAGTGACCACTATTATGAATGATCCCCAAAATGATAATGATAATTATTGCCAAGGGATTTCTGGTAAAATAAATGTTTAAAATCAAATGCTTCTTGTAGAGTTCATTGAATTATAGGATAATCCGAACCAACAAAAATAACCATTAAGAGTATAAGACATAGCAAGACCCTCAGCAACTGAGGGCTGATGATGTAGCTCAGTGGTTAAGTGTCCCTGGGTTTGATTCCCAGTGCCAAAACAAACAAACAAAGAAAAATCAGACAAAAGAGCTTATCTTTCCCATATAATATAGTCGGGGGGGGAAAGACCAAATTATTTCAAATAAGAGGCATTTTTAATATGCCAAGCCTTTTCCTTAGGCCTTTCATCTAGGAATTCATTTAATTCTTACAATTGTTAAGGTCATTATTATTAGTACAAATTATTAACAACTGAGGTGGCTATTATTATTATCACCATTCTAGTTAGGTAAGAAAGTATGCCAGAATGGTTCTGGCATGGCAGAACTTTCCCAAGGTAACACAGCTACAAAAGAAAAGGCCAGAATTTAAATGCTAGTAGCGTCACTTCTAAGTCTATTCTTAACCACTACTGGTCCTTGAAAATTGAATGCACACTGTGATCATACTCATGCTAAAACACAGAAGAATTTGGGAAAGCTACAGCTTTCTCACTAGAATCCAGGACAGACATATTGATCTTGTTTGTGTCCTCTGCTAAACTTGATCTTGCGTTAGGCCCTGTAAACCACCTGTTTATCTGGACTACCTCCCAATCTTCACATAGCTGGCTCCTTACCCAGTAGCTCCTAGTTAATTTCACCTTGCCAGAGAGTGTTCTTTGACTGTCTTTTATATAAAAGATCTGTGCCCCAGAACGACTATCCTATGTCTTGTTTTAATTTCTTTCCTCCTAACTAAAATTAGCATATATATTTTTATATACTGACTGTTTGTGTTTCCCCCACTAGAATTAAGCTCCCTGAGTTAAGGCCTTGTTTGCCTTTTCCTCTGCTGTTTTTCCCAATGTATGGAACAGTGCCTGGCACATACTTGTTCAATGAGTATCTGCTGAATTCATGAATGAAGAAAAAATATCAAAATGCAACTAGTTTTTGTGCTTTGGAAAGAAGGCTTGAATGTCTTAAAATTCCCAATTTTATAGCAATTAAGATTTGTAGTTTAAAAAAGTGTTAAGCAGTCTTTTGTTCATGATATGGAAAAATGATACAGTTTAATGGACTCCCGTGGGTTGAATGTGGAATTTCAGGGAATCATTGAATAAGTATTTACTGCATTCCTATTATGTGGCAATGTGTTAGTGACTTTCTCTGCTGGACACAGGGGCTGTAGAGTTAAGGAAAATATTGACTCTTCCTCTAAGAATACCATACTCGGTCTAGCTTTAACACAATTACCTGTAGACTCTATACGATTAATAGCTAGAGGAAACCCATTAAAAAGCAATATAAGTTTGCATGGTGTTCTTGCCATCTAGTTATGCCAATCTATAACTGTTCTCTTCAGTATCATATGCTAAATCTCATGACCTTGGCACATGGCATGGGTTTATCACAATCCAATTTCTGTGCATCACTCTCAGTGATCTCCAGGTGCTCATTCATGTGAATACTCCTTCCACAACTCTTGCCCCATTTCCTGGCATTCTTTACAACCTCACTCCTCCACCTCCACTGCAATTCACAGATCTTCACTATGCTTCATATCTAAGAAATTCCACTTTATGAGTTCTCTTTACTCTCATCCTGTTCTCATGGTTGCCTCCACCTTAGTACAGTCTCCCAGTTCCCAAATCATTCCTGGCTCCCCTTCCTTCCATGTCCAAGCTGTGTCCCATAGTCAGTTCAACCACGCCTTCACTAACCATCATCAAGTGACACCTCTCTCAACTATTTGTCCTTCTAATAATCTTTCTCATATATCCTCATTTTTGATAAGTGACTTTTGATTTCTCAGGGTAGCACTTTTATAAAGAATGACCACCTCCTTCACTGGGTCTTTGACTTTACTTAAAAAATGTTTTGTGATCCTAGTCAATTTCTGTGCGCATGACAATTCTCTCCCAAAGCTTTAGCTCCTTGGATAGTTTGCTCTTCACACATAGAGATCAAATGGCCTATTAATAAACAAAAATAAATAATTCATCTCAGAATGATAGTTTATAAAAAAAGAAATACACAGGATCTTAAGAATATAATATTTCCATTTATCCTAACTTTAAGAAGAAATAAGTATTATGGAATAATCAAATTAAATAATAAAAATTTAGGGTGAATTTATAAGTATGTTAAAACAACCAAAGTTATTAGGATAAAGTTAAAACAAATAAATAGATCAAATTCAAGAAGAGAAAACAAAAATTAATAGATAAAGAACTGTAAAACTGATGCTAATAAGTACTTCATTTTCACAAACCTAATGTAGGCATAGACTGAAGAATAACTTTAGGGACAAAAGAGTATTAAAAGGAAAACATTTTTTAGCATTTAAGTGTTAAACATTGAAAAGAAGTAGTTCAGAAAAGTTGTAGAACTTTTTTGGAAGAAAATCAAGATTTTATTCAAGAAGCCGGAAGTTAAAGCATCCTTTAATAGAAAACATATTTCTGATTCTACAGCTATACAACATACAAAAACGTCTGCTAATGAATTGCATGATGCCAATGGATCATATTGAACATCATTATAAAAATAAGTTTTTAAAATTTTGACTAAATATGGATTTGAATCTGAGAATGTATATATCATATCTCTTCTGGGATAAACTTAAAATAGAAATGACTGATTTTTTAAATATTTAAACAGAATTATTTAGGAGTTACTACTTTTGGACAATAAAACATAAAAGCCTCTTTTGCTGGAGCAATATGAAGTCATTAAAAGCTGATCCTGGGTCTTAGCCACTTCTATTTTTTATTATTCTCTTAATCCATCTTCATCATTTCCCAATAATATAGCTGATAGGATATTCTATATATAACATTTTTTCTCTGACTTAAACTTTTGAGTTCAGCTTTATTTTTATTTGTGGGGTTATGGGGGTCCATAATCTAATATATATTAAGAAAATATCAAAGACCAGCTGCTGTATTGCTAATATTTTCCATGGTGAAGACAGAGCATGTTTGTAAGCAACAAATCATCAGGCCAGTCATTCTCATTCCCTCATTACAAGATGTGTTTTTAAAAAAGATAAAGCTCAGATTTATGAAATAGGTTATTAGCTATCATTTTTTATTTTGGATTAATTGCTGTTCTAGAATATAGACTCAGATTGTCCTTATCATTTTGAAACATGAAACACAAAATCTGTTTAAAGGAATTAAGTTTTATCTCATAACTCGTTTTGATTCTGGAAAATTGTTCATGAAGGAGGACAAAACTCACTTATAAATTCTCATTTGGGCAAAATGATTTAGGAAAGAGTGCTGAATGGATACCTGATCTTATTAATGTCTAAAGTATGGCCCCTGTCAACAGAGAGAGGATACTTTGATTATAAGATGTGAGTTTTATGTATATGAATATAAATGATGTT